CTGAGGTCTCCCACTCAGGCTAAAGAACACCACATTCTCTAAGTGCTAACTGAGGTCTACCACTCAGGCTGAACTTGAGTCTGAAGTGGTTCTGTTAACACAGAGGCAACATACTCATTGGTCTCATGACTCAGTACTAATGAAAAGCCAATGTTTACCTTTCTTTTCAGATGATGGACATAAGAAAGCTCGAAATGCTTATCTCAATAATTCCAACTATGAAGAAGGAGACGAGTATTTTGATAAAAATCTGGCACTCTTTGAGGTAATACTTTAAGTGTGTGTGTGTGTGTGTGTGTGTGTGTGTGTGTGTGTGTGTCCATGCAGGAATAGAAGAGGTCATCATATTTCCCTGGAGATAAAGTTACAGGTGGTTGTGAGCCTCCCAATGTGGGTGCTGGTAACTGAACCCGGCCCCTGGAAAAGGAACCAAAGGCTCTTACTTACCCACTGAGCCATCATTCCCACCTACATGGTAGAATTCTCATCAGCAACTAGGAAATATGAAACCATCACATTTGCAGAAAAATGTTTAGAAATGAAAATCATGTTAAGCAAAATAAGCCAAACCAAGACAAAAACTGAATAGTGCATGTTTTCTCCCATATGTGTATTTAAATGTAAGTGTGTGTGTGTGTGTGTGTGTGAGAGAGAGAGAGAGCAGACTATGAGAACAAAGGAAGAGAAGTTAAGGGGACAGAGAAGTGGAGACAGAGGGTAATAGAACACAAGTCACATGAAAACACAACATTTCCTAGTAGAGAGCATTTTGTTGCTGAATTTTAGTATCCTTCATAAATTATTTCTTGCTTTCTAGGAAGAAATGGACACTAGGCCAAAGGTGTCTTCTCTCCTCAACCGCATGGCCAACTATACTAATCTGACACAGGGAGCAAAAGAACATGAAGAGGCAGAGAACATCACCGAAGGGAAAAAGAAGCCTACCAAGGTGAGGCCTCAGAACAGCCAGGCTAAATAAAAACAGCCCCAAGTATACGAGATGAAGCCATATTAAGAGCATCTGTCCGTGTTAAGAAACCATATATTAAATGCTTGATATACCCAGGACCATCATGGCCCAGACAGAATGTACAGTATCCTGGGAAGCCAGTCCCTGAGCTCTTTTAAACTCTGTTAAAATATATAGCATTTTCAGTGTCAGTTAATGCTTAACCAAAAACTTAAGCAAAATTAAAAGGAATGAGACTGATGAGAGCCTGCTGAAATGCTTTGCTACCCTGGTAGGTGAGGTATAGAGAGCCCTCTGACAATGGGGGATCTTAGCAGAAACCATCCAAGTGAGGAAGTTAGCCATGTGAGTGACAGCTTTTCAGGAAGGGGAGTTAGCACACCAGTAGGGAAGAATATCTCAACCCAGCTGCTCATGCTGTCTTCCTGGCACAGGTTTGGGTTTTGGGGTGCTCATTTTGTTGTTTTTGAGACAATGTCTTAAATGGCCTTGGACCTAGAATCCTCCTGCCTCAGCCTCCTAGGTCCTATGCATGTACCATGATGATATGCAGACATTGTTAGACCTTTTAAAATACTACTATATTTCTTACAATAAAATTATGCCAATACATATAATTAGGTAAGCTCTTTGCAAAGGGGCCAAATTGCCTTCAAGTTCTTACTTTCCCCATCCGTTTGATTTGCCAACTATTGTGAAGAATTTGTGCCTAATTCTCAAAAATTTCCATAAGTCATTCTGTTTTTAAATGAAAAGAAAAATTTAACAACTTTGAAGAATAGACATTTTTAGATTGTTGAGTGTTCCATTGCTTAAGTATGATAAAAATATGTGGGAGCTTATCCAAATTACAAATTTGTATAGATAATAGAAGTACTAAAAAGTATTAAGAGACTTTTGAAGATAATGCTTAAACTCCCTAACTCTACTTTGTGATTAATATGGTAAATCAAAGCAGTCTTTTATGGCTAACTGTATAATTTTTCCTTTTGTCTTACATTTTTATTTCTAGAGCCCCCAAATGGGTACTTTCATGGGTGTCTACCTCCCATGTCTACAAAATATTTTTGGAGTGATCCTCTTTCTGCGTCTTACCTGGGTAGTGGGCACAGCCGGAGTCCTTCAGGCCTTTGCAATTGTCCTTATCTGCTGCTGCTGTGTAAGTCCTGCACTGGCTCTGCGAGCTCACCTGCAGCATTTCCAGCTGCCAAGAATATATGCATGTGACCTCCGGGGGAACAAGCACAGAAAATAAAAGACTCATTATTCCAACCAGAGAGAGAATTTTGATCTTAAAATCGAAAAGGTTTTCATTAAGCACCCATTATTCATTACTTACTATGTAGTAATATGGTAGCCTAGATTTTTGGAAATAGAAAACAAAATGCAGGTCTTCAAAAATCCAAAATACGGATAATTTTAACTTGAAAACACTAGTGTTGTAACAGAACATGTTAGAAAATGCATATGCTATTCTAAAACACACTGAAAATAAAATTGATAGTGCCTTGGAAGGATGGGGTGAATCTGGATTGGGTTTGGTTTACTTAGAAGTCTCCTTTCTTGTTCCTTCCCCAGAAATTACTCTTTTTTTTTCGTGGACTTCTCCATTCAGCCCATTCTGGTTCTCCTTTAAGCTGCTCATTCTTATATGTCCCATCCCTGTTCATCAATCTTACTACCAGTTTCTGCTGTCCCCTTTGTTTGAGTAACCATTACATCCTCCACACGCATCGTGCTCAGCCGAGTACTGACCATGCAGGTTAAGCAGACATAACCTATGTCTTTACTAACTTAGTGGCACTGCCTTCTCTACTTCCAATTTCTGGAGCTTGAAACTTCTGGGTCATATTTGACTCCTTTGCCATTCACCACAGCCAATCTGCTCTCTCTGAGCTATTTCATGTGCAGCCTTCTTTTTCCCACTATCGCACTGTAGGTTTTAATTTTTACTTCCAATATAGATGCCTACTAGCTAGTCACTGTGGCTCCAGCAACTCTCTCTTTGAAGACTTTTCTGTACTGTTACTTTTTTTTAAATTTTTTCAGTGGTTCTCTCTCTCTCTCTCTCTGTGTGTGTGTGTGTGTGTGTGTGTGTGTGTGTGTGTGTGTGTGTATGTGTGTCTGTCTCTCTCTCTAACTATATATTGTTCTTGGCATTGTAGCTAGTCTGTAGGTAGGTTCCAGCCTACTTTGCAATGTTGTCTCCTAGCTGTCTCTTTTTGAATATGTTATACAGCAACCCTTCATAAAAATAAGTGGAATGAAATGTTTGCTATGTGTTCTGATGTCCATACATGGGAAAGCAGTACAGAAATGTCAGCTTTGCCCAGTACTAAAATCCTTCTTTCTTTCTCTACAGACAATGTTGACTGCGATCTCCATGAGTGCCATTGCCACTAATGGAGTGGTACCAGGTCAGTAGTCCAAGCTCAGATTTCAGAGACTATCAGTAATTAATCATTGTGTTATGCTTTTCCAAAGAAACTTAATGCATCTATTCTGTTGTCCATAGGGCACTATAACAGGGTCGTCTTCTAGAAGCAAGAGACAAATGCTGTTTAACTTAAGGAAGCTATCTGAAATTCATTATTTTTAAACTACAGTGCTCTCATTTCAGCCACATTCTTAATTTATAAATTATATTTTGTTAAACTATCTTATTTCTGTAGGAAATATCCTAATTTTGTTCCTAAGAGTGACAAAATGTAGAGTATTGGACACACCATAGCCCGTTAGCAAATCTGCTTTGTTACATTCAGTTCCCCAAAGTCTGATACATCTTTTGAGCGTATTTTAAAATTATTACTTATGACTTGTTTACAGTCCTCTTAGTGAAACCCTCACTGTATTCTGTTCACATTCTGTTTTGTCTTGTAGCCGGCGGCTCATACTTCATGATTTCCCGGGCCCTGGGCCCAGAGTTTGGTGGGGCTGTTGGCCTCTGCTTTTATCTTGGCACCACATTTGCAGCAGCCATGTATATTCTTGGTGCCATTGAAATTTTTCTGGTAAGTAATGAATGAATTGTGGTCTACAGTGTAGAAAGCCTGAGGTTTTGTTTTTGTTCTAGCTATCAAGGTTTTGGAGCCATCAGGTGATGGCTGCCCCGACTGTGCTCTTACAGTAATGCTGAGGCAGAAGGTTGAGGTGTCCTTCACCTGCCTGTCCTTCTCCTGCTATCTGATTGTCCCCAAGTCTATCACCTCAAGCTGGGACTTCATATCAAAGCAGAAAAGACTTATGCTAATAGAGAAGAGTAAAACAAGTTTATATATATATATGTGTATATATATACACATATATATATATATATATATATATATATATATATACACATATATATGTGTATATATATACACACATATATACATATATATATGTATATATATATATATGTATATATATATATATATAGTGTGTGTGTGAGTGTTTGTCTTTTCTAATGTGTTGAATACATGTGTGTAGACGCCAGTGATCAACCTGTTTCCTTGCCTGTTGTTCCTCAGGAGCCATCAATTGGCATTATGAGATGGGGTCTTTCACTGGGACCTGGAGCTCATCACCTTCAGCTGGCCAGCCAGTCAGCTCCAGGGTTCCTCCTGTCGTTCCCTCCCCAATACTAAGGTTGCAAGCACACACCACCAAGCCTAGCTTTTTACATAAGTCCAATGGATCAAACTTGGGTACTTATTCTTGTGCAGTGAGCAGTTCACTGGCTGAGGTTGTATCCCCAACCCCTTTTGATAACTTTATCCGAATGAAAGACTTTTTAATTTCCCTACCCATATTATAAATCTGCTCTATGCAATTTTTTAATAAAATTTTTCATTTTTTCTTTTTTCTATTTGGAAATACAGATATTTAGAATAGTAAATAGAGGGCAAAAATAATCTATGATATAACATTTCTATAGACATTCTAGAGCCAAATAAAATTTGGGTAATTTGCAGCCAGGTATGGTATATAACTTTAATCCCAGCACTTGGGAAGCAGAGGCAGGTGGGTCTTTTGAGTTTCATGCTAACTAGGACTGTGTAATTAGACCCTGTCCAAAATAAATGATTAAAAAGAAGAAAGGAGGGGCTGGAGAGAGGCTCAGCAGTTAAGAGCAATGGCTGCTCTTCCAGAAGACCAGGGTTCAATTCCTAGCACCCCCATTGCAACTCACAACTGTTCTAACTCCAGTTCCAGTAGATTCAACACCCTCATGCAGACATACATGCAGACAGAACACCAACACACATTAAAAAAAATAAAATCACTTTAAAAAAGAAAGGATAAAAATTAATGTTTTATTTTTTTGTTTAGGTTTCCTTTCCTTCACAGAAGTAACATATAAACTGTTATAGACCCTCTACTTGATTATTTGAAAGTGACCTCATTTCTTTTCTACTACTTTTTTCTTTCTAACAGGTGTATATTGTTCCCCGAGCTGCCATTTTTCGAAGTGATGATGTGCTCAAGGAGTCAGCAGCCATGCTCAATAACATGCGTGTGTATGGCACAGCCTTTTTGGTCCTCATGGTCTTGGTGGTATTCATTGGCGTACGCTACGTGAATAAGTTTGCCTCACTTTTCCTGGCCTGTGTAATTGTGTCCATCTTGGCTATCTACGCTGGTGCCATCAAGTCTTCCTTTGCTCCACCACACTTCCCGTATGTACCTATCTTTTGACCTAGTCATCATTGGGTAGTCAGTTACAGTGTCTGGTGATGTGAACATTTCTATCAGAATTTCATGGAGTGATTTCCCCATTGGCACAGTTTTCCAGCAGAAAGCTTCCTGACTTACTCTCCTATTGACCTTCTTCCTCACTGTAGAGCTAGCAGCAGTAGCAATCATGAAGGTACACGTATTTCAGTGCCCCTCCCCATAATGATTGTGTTTATGTGAACTACCCATGAAGGACTTGGCAGTCATAGTCATTACTAGCAAGCAACCTTTGTAAACAGTGTTAGATGCTTTTAAAATAAAAGTCAATTCAAAGAAATTGTAGAGTAGCAGTCTAAAGAAAGGGCTCTGTAGTTAAGAGCAGTGGCTGATCTACTAGAGGACCTGGGTTCAATTCCTAACACCCACTTGATGGCTCACAACTGTCTGTAACTCCAGTTCCAGGCCTCTACAGGCTTCAGTCACACAACTGTCACATACATGTAGACAAAAACACCCATACACATAAAATAAATAAATCTCTTAAAAATAATTACCTAAATCATTTATTTTGTTTATAGTTAATACCGTAATTCTGAATTCTTAGGTATAAAGAAAGGGAAGTGAATGTCCCATCACGTGTGTGTCCCTGGCATTGTATGCCATAAATGGTGCAGTGGTGAAATGGTGGCCGTCACTCACAGACTCACCTATTCTCCCTTTGAGTTGTGACACAGAGCCTGCTTGGCACTGGTCATTTGTAATCTTGTTACAGAAGTAACAAGATTGCCTTTGAATTCATATGGATCAGCTGGGGATCATATTTATTGATATTATGTTGATTTAAACAGGTTAGAACAAATTAAAAAAAAAAAAAAAAACAAACTCAGATCCAGTGAAGGTGAATGACTTTCCCCAAAGCCAACTAATGATGGGGCAAGAACATGGACTTTGTGATTTGCTGGCCATTTGGTATTTCTTCTATGTGATGTCAGTTATAGGTTCCACCATAAATTTTCATTTTGTTTACTTGGGGGCCATAAAATAATTAAAGATCATCTTCATAGTTATAGAAGTTTTCAATGCAATATTTTAGCTGTATCTCAACTTGGAAAATTCCATTTTGCTTCAGGTTCCCCTTTGGGGCTTCTCCACTTCTGTTTGGTTGGGGAGAAAAAAAATCACAGTGCAAGTTATTTTGTTTTTAAAAATTCCAGCATAACACATTAAAAAAAAAAAAAAAACAAACTTAGAGAAACCATGAAACAGAATAGGAATTGTTAAGTGTTGTTGAAGTAAAGTAATAGATATGTGGCTCATTGTGTATGTATGAAATCACTCTGCAGATTCCAAACTGTGTTTTGTTCTAGCTCAGAAGTATTTTACTTGGGTCTATTACTCCATTCTTTTTTATGTTTCTGGACAGAAATAAAAATAAATCTGCAGTTAATATTTGCATTTTCCTTAAATTTCCTCTGTACCACTGGGTCTAAGTTTAAGGTCACAAACACATTTTCTCGTGGGCCATAGAGGGATGTGTTTGTAAATCTAGTCAAGCTATCCTGCAGCAGTAGCCAAAAGCCTCAGCAGAACTGGCAGTTCCAAGAGATTACAAATAAAGCCCCTTCTCATTTCATCTCCTACCTTATTTCCTTTCCTCCCTTCCTCTGCCTAGGAAGAAAACAAACAGACAAAAATATGGGCATTGGGACATATTTTTAAAAATAATAGCAGAAGTAGTCTGGGATTTTATTATTGCTGTGGTAATGGTGTGTTGGGGGCTGCGGGGTGTTCACATGTATGCCTATGTAGAAACCAGAAAGTTTCAGGTGCCCCCTATCTGTTTCTGTCTTACTCTCTTGTGAGTCTTTAACTAAACCTGAAACTTACCATTGTTTGCATTGTTGAGATAGACTGGCTGGCCAGCAAACCCCAGGCTGTCTCTCTCTCCTCCCCAAACCCAATCCCCAGTGCTGAGATTACAGGCATGTATGACCACACCAGGCTTTTACCTGTGTGCTAGAGATCTGAACTCAGGAACTCATGCTTTTATAGCAAGCACTTGAACCCCACTGAGCCATCTCCTTAGCCCCTCCAGGATTCTTTCTTGCCTGAAAATGGATGAATAGTTAAACACTTTTGGAAGATAACTGAGCATAGTTTCTTTGTACAGTTCTTATGTTTGAATCATCTGTCATTTGTATGACCTTGATCTTGGGCAGAATATTGAATCTCTGTAACTCTCAGAGCCTCTATCCTCATAAGATAAACATTAAAACATTGTGAGATCTGGCAGAAAATGTAAGTCTCTGTGATTCACAGTGCTAGCCAGTAATGCTCATCTTTTCTAGTAAAATCTCTGAGAAAAGACATTTTTATCCTTTACTAAGTGGCTTTTCCTCTCTTTTTTTTGTTTGGTTGTTGGTTTGATTGGGGTTTTTTTGTTTTTTTTTTTATTATTATTATGAATTACACTTTATTCATTTTGTATCCCCCCATAAGCCCCTCCCTCCTCCCCTGCCGATCCCACCCTCCCTCCCCTTTCTGCATGCATGCCACTCCCCAAGTCCACTGATAGGGGAGGTTCTCCTCTTCTTTCTGATCTTAGTCTCAGTTCTCATCAAAAGTGGCTGCATTGTCCTCTACTGTGGCCTGGTAAGGCTGCTCCCCCCTCAGGGGGAAGTGATCAACGAGCAGGCCAATCAGATTATGTCAGAGGCAGTCCCTCTTTGGTTGGTTTTTTGAGACAGGGTTTCCTGTGTAGCCTTGGCTGACCTGAAACTCTCTCTGTAGACCAGGCTGGCTTTGAACTCATGGAGATCCAACTGCCTTTGCTTTCCTGAGTGCTACCGTTTCCTCTTTAAAACTTAGTTTTCTTTTCTTTTTTTCTCCCTTCTAATCTTTCTCTTCTTCCCTGTTTGCTTTGATTTAGGGTCTGTATGCTGGGCAACCGCACCCTGTCATCAAGACACATTGATGTTTGCTCTAAAACCAAGGAAGTTAACAACATGACAGTGCCATCAAAGTTATGGGGATTCTTCTGTAACTCAAGCCAGTTTTTTAATGCCACCTGTGATGAGTACTTTGTTCACAATAATGTCACCTCAATCCAAGGCATTCCTGGGCTGGCTAGTGGCATCATTACTGGTAAGTTAGAGAGTTCAGTTAGACCTGGTTTGGTTTGTGTTGTTTTTTCTTTAAGTACAGTAGGGGGAAATAGGCTTTCCCATCATAGATTCTTTTTTCCCCTTATTTTTGCTTCTTATTATAATATATTAATTATGCATAACAATGAGTTTCTTACCACATTTTATACATGTATTTTTTATATTTTGATCATATTGACACATACCCCTTATTCCCTCATTTGTTTGCATATACAGTAAATTTCATTAGACTTGTTTATGTGTTCATGAATGATGTGTGCATAGCAGCACAGGCACCTAACAGTGGCTACAGGACTGAAGAAAATGTCTCTCCCTCTCACATTACTTGGGTATATTTAAAGTTTCAGGGATGGGTGGGGTCATACTACATATTAAGGTTTTTTTGTTTGTTGTTTGTTTTGTTTGTTTGGGTTTTGGTTATTGGTTGGTTAGGTTTTTTGTTTTGTTTTTAAGAGATAGGGTTTCTCTGTGTAGCCTTGACTGTCCTAAACTTACTTTGTAGACCAGGCTAGCCTCAAACTCAGTGACCTGCCTACCTCTGCCTTCCAGAGTGCTGGAATTACAGGTGTACACCACCCAGCTCATGTGACATCTTAATAGAATTGGTCTTGTAAAGATTGTGTATAGGTAGTCAGAACCCGCATGCAAAGGCCACAACTGGAATTCAGCATTCTACATGATTCCCTTTCCCTCTGCATTTTCCATTCTTCCAGCCACGTTCAATGTTCACTGAGCCTTGAAGGGGGTGATAACTGTGACCAGTTGTTAATGAATCTCGACAGTTACCACTGCCCACTGTAAAAGGAAACTTCTCTGACAATAGCTGATAGCAGCACTAATATATAAGTATAAGCATAGTTGTTAGAAGGCAATTTGATAGGCACAACATGTCTATTTAGCAAATTTAGTTAGTAACTTCCCCATGAGGGTGATTGTTATGATTGCAGTGGCAAGGATTGAATCCAAGGAATGTGTCTGGCAGTTTAACGTGCTCTATCCCTGAGCTACACCCCAGCCTGCTGTCTATTTCTGTGTCTGTTGAACATAGCATGGATCCCTGTGTATTCGTGGATGGCTTTAAACTCATACTCTCTGTGCCTCCGCCTCCTGAGTGCTGGGAAGACTATAGGCATGCAGCACTGTGCCCAGCATATTTGTATTCTTCTCTTAGTGAAATTATCTATATTTAGAGCTCTCTTGTGGAGTGACGCTGTCAAAATTTGCCTTTTGAAAACAGAGGCTGACAAATGGCTTTTTAGCCTAGGGTAAGATAAAATATTTTGTGAATGTTTTTATTTGCCACTTTCCTCAAGCTAACTTAAACTCTTGGACATAAGCAGTCCTTCTGCCTCATGCTTCTGACAAGCTGGGACTGCAGATATTTGCCTTTCTTTATGTCTGACTTAATGTATTCTTGAGAAATTGCCAATTATCTTCCTGAAGGCATAGCTGAAATAGAACTTTTAATGTCACCACACACACACATACACACATTTGTTTTCCTAGCTCAGCTAAATTTCTGAAATTCTTTCCTTAAGTGATGGCCACCTTAAATGTTTTATCTACACATTTCTTTGCCCATAAAGCAAGTTCACACTAAAAACTGCTTTGATACTAATTTTTTAATTGGCTTTATATTTGATAACTAATTTAAAAATAGGCTTTATAGGGCATTTTATTTTAGTCTGCTTAACTTATACTAATTTGTGTTTTAAAAAATGTTAACTGCATTTATTATAACAAAGCATTTTGTAAAATTGTATTAGAACAAATGAGAAATAGAATTGTGTTGTATTCTGTGATATTTACATGTGTACATGTGTTCATGTTAAAGAAACAATGGCTCTTTAAAAACTACCACCATAAGCGGCTGAGGGAGAGGTAGCAAGTAAAAGGCTCTAGGGTCAGTCTCCAGTACAAATAGAGATAGGTGTCTCTGGTTGAATGTTGTTTGGGCAAGAAATCATGTACTTACATTGTTTTTACCTTGCATATATCCTTACATTCTCTTTCTACCAACCCCATCCCTCAACCCTTTGCAGAAAACCTTTGGAGTAATTATTTACCAAAGGGTGAGATTATTGAAAAGCCATCAGCCAAGTCATCTGATGTCGTGGGCAACTTAAACCATGAGTATGTCCTCGTTGACATCACCACCTCCTTCACTCTCCTGGTGGGGATCTTCTTTCCTTCTGTCACAGGTAAGGGGGTGGGGCTGTGACCTGTTTTAGAGAGCCATCAGCCACAGTGAGTGGGTTTTCTCAGGAGACAGAATTATGTTCTCGGTGTTCTTAGATTGCCCCTAGTCTTCAGTATCAGTATGAACATCAGGGTGCCCAGAAAGCCAAGAAGTGAACTTGGTGTTTGACTTTACTAGGTATCATGGCTGGGTCAAACAGATCCGGAGATCTGAAAGATGCTCAGAAGTCCATTCCCATTGGAACCGTCCTTGCCATCCTGACCACATCCTTCGTGTGTATCCTTCTTGTTAATCTGGTTTGAGTCATGGTGATGGGATCATACAGTAGAACCAAGATGATCAGTATTTTTATCTAATAATAATGCCTTCTCTTACCATCGCCTTACTTGCCAGATAGTTGACCTGTTTCATAACCATCATTAAAAAAAAGTATTTTACAGAAGTAGAGAATTTAACAACCCATTTATTGATAATGAATCATCCTGAGTGTAGTTACTATAAAAAGGTAAAGGACAACAATTTTCTTGACTCTCAGCATAACAGATTTAAGCAATGTTGTCCTTTTCGGTGCATGTATTGAAGGAGTTGTTCTCAGAGACAAGTAAGTATAACAACTATATGTCTGTCTCCCATGGCAGCTCATCACTAAAAACAGATATAATATCTAGAAACTAGGCCAAAGTGTCAGTTATAACTAATAAAATAGGAAATGTATATATTGAGCTAAAATGTATGTATATCTATCTATCTATCTATCTACCTATCTACAGATACATATATAGAGAGATAGCAGACAGCACACAGACAGACAGAATATGAATGTATACATGTGGGGTTAGAGAGATGGCTCAGAGGTTAAGAGCACTGGCTTCTCTTCCAGAGGTCCTGAGTTCAATTCCCAGCAATCACATGGTGGCTCACAACCATCTACAATAAGATGTGGTGTCTTCTTCTGACATGCAGGTGTATATGCAGATAGAACATTGTATACATAATAAATAAATAAAATATATTTTTTAAAAAGGGTGGGGGCAGAGAGATGGCTCAGAAGTTAAGAGCACTGCTTACCTTTCCAAAGGTCCTGAGTTCAATTCCCAGCAACCACACAGTGGCTTACAACCATCTATAATGAATATATATATGTATACACACATACATAATCAAAGAGCTTGTATAGCACATACAACAACATGCATGCACACAAAATAAAAACAATTATGGACCTCCTGCTTTCTATGTTTATTGTTGTAAATTAACAGAAAATGAGTGTTGGGTTATATATTATTTATTATGAGCCCTAAGATTATCACAGTGGTATTAGCTAACCGCTGTCACAAATAATAAGACAGAGACACCTAATAGATTTTTTTTTATTGCCTTATTTACCTTGGGCCGGGCATATATTTCACTTACACTGTCTCTATAACCTCACCATCCATCTCCTAGCCCCATCCAGTGCCATCTACCTTAATCCTTTCTATCTGGACTACCTTTCATCCATAATCTCATGGTACTTGCTTGTATTCTTCATCTGGGCCTTTTCACGCCATTATTGGGAATCCTTTCTCCCAGCCCATGTGGTTTCTTCTCCACACTAACCCGTCGTGGTGTCCTCCTCTTTTCTCTTTTCCTGTCCATCTGTCTCCTATGATTCTCCCTGTCCAAAGCCCAGGAACCTTAGCCACACCTACCCCATTCTGCTCTGCCCAGGTATAGGCTATTTAATCAGCCTATCAATTATGTCTTAGGCAGGTTTACAAAAGGATAGGTGTAACCAGATCTTGAAGGCCAGTAACACACATCAGACAAACCTCCAACATATGTTTTTCCACACTTTTCCAATTTCCACTCCAAAGCAGATTCATTGCTATTACAGAGAAATCCGTAAGTAAAGCTTGGCTTGTTTTCTAACTGTACTGTTTTGATTTAATATATATTATTAATTTTCTCCTCCTCAGTGGTGCTTGTTATTGAACCCAGGGCCTTAGAGATATGCTAAGTAAATGATGTAACAGCTATATCCCAAGCCCAGTAACTCATTTTTGAGACAGGGTCTTGCTGTGCATCCTGAGCTGGCCTTGAACTCAAAATGTAGACTTCTCTGGCCCCAAACTCATAATCCTCCTGCACCAGCCTCCTGAGAGCTAAGGTGACAGGTATGTGCCATCATGCCTGCTATTAGTGCTTTTTTGATGAAAACTCTGTAGCTTTACATTTTTTTAGTATTCCTGTTTACCTGAGTTTGAGTCTGTAAAAGTTATAAACAAGAAAAAATTCATTGGGTGAATGTCTTCCTAATTTTTTAATCTAAAGTTGTTTTCAAGTTAAATTTCTCCACTGTTTATGTCTTTCCTAGATTTGGGGATGCTGTGAAAGGTAATTTGGTTGTAGGCACCTTATCCTGGCCATCCCCGTGGGTGATTGTTATTGGCTCGTTCTTTTCAACATGTGGGGCTGGACTTCAGAGCCTCACAGGTGCACCGAGGCTGCTACAGGCTATTGCCAAGGATAATATCATACCTTTCCTTAGGGTGAGTGATGCTTGGTTGTGCCCTCTTCTCTGCCCAGGTTTACTGTAAAATGTTAACCTTTTCCAGCTTAAGAATCGGGCGATCCTAAATGTAGAGACATGTAGTTTTAGTACAAGGCTCTCAAAGTCCTTTGTGTGTGTTTTATATGATTGCTGTGAAGTTGCTCTTATTTTTTGGACGTTTGAAAGGGGCACATTTTTGTCAGTGCCCCCGTGCCGGATGTTTTCCCTTGTGTGTGCAGGTTTTTGGTCACAGCAAAGCCAATGGAGAACCTACCTGGGCCTTACTTCTAACTGCTGCCATAGCAGAGCTGGGAATTCTCATCGCTTCCCTGGATCTCGTGGCCCCAATTCTTTCCATGTAAGAGCTACTTACTCTCTTCAACTATGGTTGCTTAATGATATATAACATGGTTTCTGTCAGTCGTCTAAAAGTAATGATTATGACAGATTTGACCAAATATAGACTTCACTTAAAAAAAAAAATACTCCTGAGATGGGGCTGGAAAGATAATGGCTCAGTGGTTAACAGCATATATTGGATCTTCCAGAGGACCTAAGTTCAATTCCCAGCACCCATATCAGATGCCTCACAATTACCTATATGTCCAGTTCCAGGGGACATAACACCTGACCTAACACCTCACATAACACCTGTGAGCACTCATGTGAACACAGACACACACAGACACACACACACACACAGAATTAAAATAAATTTTTAAGAGACTATTCCTGAAAACTTTTATGTAAGGCTAACTTTTATAAATGACTATGATTTTGTAGCGGGAAGGATCCTACCTATAAGACTACTACCTCTTCCTCCTGTTTCTTCTTCTTTAAAAAAAAAAAAATGCTGGCTTTGAACCCAGAGCATTGTATGCATTAGGCATGCTCTCTACCACTGAATACCTCCAGCCCCTGATTTCTTTTATGAGTCATTAACAGTTGATTTCACTATTAGCTTCTATTAATTTACTTGTGACTCACTGATGACTTACTGTCTCTCTGACACTAGAATATAAGGCTCATGGTCTCAAAGAACTGATGATAGATAAGAAAACCAAGAATCCCCCATGTAGTGCAGTGAATGAAGGATGGTGGTGCTATGAAAGCACGGCACCTGGACAGAGTAGGGTTTTCTGTAGGACATGGCATGCATCTTGAAGGATACCTAGTTATTTGCTAAGCAGAAAAGGACAACATGTCTTAGTCTGCAGCTCCAGCGGATTTAGTGTCCTCTTCTGGCCTCTGCCATCACTAAGCACACAGTATGCTGCACATAAATACCTTCAGGGAAAACATCATACACATAAAAGCAAATAAGTCTTTACTCAGTATGGTGGTACACACCTTCTAATTCCAGTTCAGGAAGCAGAGGGAGACAGATATTTTTGAGTTTGAGGCCAACCTGGTCTATATATCTAGACAGAGAGTTCCAGGACAATCAAAGTTGACTAAATGAGACTGTCTCAAAAAAAGAAAAAAAAAATGAAGTGTGTGTTGTGGGTGGGGACTAGAAGAGGATATTAAACTAGACGTTGGGGAGGGGAGGGAGAAGTGAAAGCCTGAACTAAGGTGAAAATCCTAAAAAATGAAAATAAAGAAGTTTGGGAAGTTTAAAGTAAGTAGAATCATAGTACTTGATAGGTAAATTTAGGAGGAGAATTACTAAGGAAGCAGAAGTGTGGATTAGTTACTGAATATCTGGGTAAAGAATAGTTGTGCTTTGATCACCTTCCCCTGGAGGGAGCAGCCTTGCGAGGCCACAGAGGAGGACAGTTCAGCCAGCCTTGATGAGACCTGATAGGCTAGGGTCAGATAAAAGGGGAGGAGGTCCTCCCCTATCAGTGGACTTGGGAAAGGGCATAGGGGGAGAAGAGGGAAGGTGGATGGGACTATAGCGGGGATACAAAGTAAATAAATTGTAATAAATAAATAGAAAGATAGAAAGAGAGAGAGGAAGAAAGAAAGGGAGGGAGGGAAGGAAGGAAGGAAGGAAGGAAGGAAGGAAGGAAGGAAGGAAGGAAGGAAGGAAGGAAGGAAGGAAGGAAGGTTGGTTGGTTGGTTGTACTGGGCTCCAAGAGATGGCTCAGTGGTTAAGAGCACTGACTGCCCTTCCAGAAGTCCCTGAGTTCAATTTCCAGCACCCACATGGCTTTTAGGTTTTTAGTTTTCTTTACTTCCTGCTTGATAAATGGTTGGTCCAGAGTTTAGTAGTGCAGAGGCCTCCAGTTATTTAAAATAGCCCTCACAGAATCATTTTATAATAATTCCTCTTACTGCTTGTATTCCTCCAGGTTTTTTCTCATGTGTTACCTCTTTGTGAACTTGGCATGTGCCTTGCAAACATTACTCCGAACCCCTAACTGGAGGCCCCGATTCCGTTACTACCACTGGTAAGTCTTCATCTTCCTTATCTTTCTATAAATCTAGAATATTCTAGGTTTTCAGTACATTTTTATTTGCCAGTCATTCTATAGATATTTTGATGTTCAGTTGCCACTTGAATTCCTTCTTCCCTATTCTTTCATAGCTATATGTATTACTTTTAATATACACAAAGACAAATATACACAAAGTGCTTATTTACAGGCTGCTTCAGTCTTACAGCTCAGACCGTCTCTTTAAATATCTACCTTTCTATTCTCCCTTAGCTGAGCACTGGATTTCATGCTGCCTTGTCATTACATTTATATTCTCATCAGTTTTTCATTCTCACATTTAGTAATTCAGACTGTGAACTGTTAAGCTGGTTAGTCCTTAGTTTAGCTTCACTACTTCCTAGCCCTGTAACCTGCCTGAACGCATATAGCGTCATGAAATCTCAGTTTACTAATTCATAACAGAGTAATACATCTAAGGTGCACATTAATTCAGTGCTGGTATACAGTACAGCTCTCAGTGAAAAGATGTGGTGCTGTGGCATAGTCTTGTCAGTCCTGAAAGGGCCATCCACATTGTTTGTTTGTTTGTTTGTTTGTTTGTTTGTTTGTTTGTTTTGGAGGGTTGCTTTGGGTTTTGGTTGGTTGGGTTTTGGTAGGGTTTTTTTGTTTGATTGATTGGTTTGGTTTAGTTTTTGGAAATAGAGTTTTCTATCTAACTCTGGCTGTCCTGGAACTCACTCTGTAGACCAAGCTGGCCTCAAATTTAAGAGATCCACCTGCCTGTGCCTCCCAAGTGCTGGGATTAAAGGTGTGTGCCACCCACCCAGCTGCTATCCAGGTGTTTTGGCCACTGCCCCATCTCTTTTCTGTGTTCCAATGATAGTGGGTTTTTCTACTCATGTATGTGCCTGTTGCTGTGGTCTTGTTTTCTAACTTTCCTTATTCCTCCTCTGGCTTCTCTCACCAGTAACGGCCAGTGATGTGACATTTATGTGGTTAAAATGTGTACCTTCAACTGCTTTTAATACTTTCCATCTTTCCCCTAGCTTTCACACTAGTTAAAAGTTTGTGGTGAATGTTTTTTGTGTTATATCTTAATCTCCAAAGTAACAGTTCTTTTGTCTATGCTTGAATATTCATCACAGGGCTAGAAAGGTGATTCTGACCACAAAAGGACTTATACATAATTTATAATTAAAATTATAATTACATAATAATACATTATCTACATAATCTATTTTCTCAAGAAAGTTGCTGTCTACCAAGTTCCTCATTAAATGCTATAAAAAGCTAGTGGCAGCTTTTTATCAGTGGATTCTACAGTTATGTGGAATTAAATGCCCATAAAATGTTAGGAATACTTACAAAAGAAAAATGTAACATCACATTTTAAATTCTGACTGTGTTCACTCCCTGCTTTTCCAGATTAGTAATAATTGTCCTTGTGGCAGATAGCGCTGTGACATCCTGTATACATTTATGATTGTCCAGAAGCAAGCAGGCACAGGGCTCATCCCATCTGGGCTGCTGGGAAGGCTCAGTGGTAGATGACCTGCCCACATGTGCAAGGCATTGGGTTTGAGCCACAGCACCAGAGGAAGAAAATAGTCATTGCCACAGCTTTCAAGGCACACAATGATTTTTTTCTAATAATTGTTTTCATTGTATTTAACATAGTCCTGTCTGTAATTGACTAGAAATTAGAACAATCCCCACCATAGTCCAGGAGCACCCCAGAACTGGTTGGTGTCTTTCTTGCTGTTTAGAAGCATAATTCTTGGTTTATATTTTTGTTTTTTATTTTCCAGGGCCCTCTCTTTCATGGGAATGAGTATCTGTCTAGCTCTGATGTTCATTTCTTCCTGGTATTACGCTATTGTAGCTATGGTGATAGCTGGCATGATCTACAAGTACATTGAGTACCAGGGGTGAGTATGACTTTTACCTTGATCACTGCTGAAAGAGTCAGTCAAGAATGGCTGGTTTGGCCATGCACGGAACACACACCTGGAGTCATAGTACTCAGGAGGCTGAGACAGGAAGATTGCAAATACAAAGCAATCTAGCCTATATATCAACAAAAAGAAAAGAAGGAAGGAAGAAGGGAGGGAGGGAGGGAGGAAGGGAGGGAGGGAGGGAGGGATAAGATAAGATGCAGGGCTGGAGAGATGATGGCTTGGTGGTTAAGAGCACTAACTGCTCTTCCACAGAACTGTAGTTTAGTCCCCAGAACCCATCAGGCAGCTCAGAACCACATGGATCCCCGTTTGACCTCTAGAGACACTTGAACACAAAGATGCACACACATTCCTGACTTTTTAAAGGTATAACTAAAATGTAAATATCTTCTCTAATCTTTTCAAGCGAGAGATACTCTAAAATGAAATTAATCCCAAATAATGTCAAAATAACCAAAACCTCCAACAACCTCTAAAAATGGGAGTAAGTTATATTCTGATTCAGAAGATTACTTTGGACTTTACTTTCTATTACTTTCAAGATCACAATTACAAGTAATTTCCTAATCTGAATTGCTATTCCACACAGTTGCTTTTGAATATATACACAGGGGACTAAGTGAGTAACCCTGTGTTGTGGACATCTGTAGGGTGGTCAACCTCACAGTGGGTTCCTCATGCTCATGAGGAACAGCAGGTAAGCACGGCCACAAGTTTCAATCTTCTACTTTGTACATACCTTACTGTTAGATGCAGAACATCCTGGTGTGTGTTTTGAACTTCTATTCAGTGTGTATGTAAACTTACTACTCCATTACTCCTCTTTTCTCCTTTTTCTCCTAGGGCTGAGAAAGAATGGGGTGATGGTATCCGCGGGCTGTCGCTCAGTGCAGCTCGCTTTGCTTTGCTCCGCCTAGAGGAAGGACCTCCTCACACTAAGAACTGGAGGTAAAGCAGTTGCTAAACAAAGCCTAGTGCTGTTTGCATGTAGCTAACACACACAGCTGTGCTCTCTCGATCACCAGATAAAGGAGTTATTTGGTTTGAGGAACTGCTGTCAAGTTCTCAGCTATCCTCAAGGTTGCTGCCTTACTTATTGTGTATTTATTGTTTATTATTGTTATTCTGTGAAGACTGGTCAATTTCAGATAATACTGAGACTGTTTGAAATGACTCAGAACCCTCATCTGAGCATTCTTCTGATTCCATCCTTCTGTCAAGTTAAATGTTTTATAGAGACCTCCTGAAGTAAAGGATGAAGTTGTCACCTGTTTCCCACACCCAGGTGTCTTCTCCCTCGCCTCTTCACAGGCCTCAGTTGCTTGTACTGCTGAAGCTGGATGAAGACTTACACGTCAAGCACCCCCGCCTCCTCACCTTTGCCTCACAGCTCAAGGCAGGAAAGGGACTCACTATTGTGGGCTCTGTCATTGTGGGGAACTTCCTGGAGAACTACGGTGAAGCTCTAGCCGCGGAGCAGGTAAGGAGCACAGCCTCTTGTCTCCACTTCTCAAATGTTTGTGTTCCCTCAGCTTTTTAAAAGGCCACAGTGCAGTCAGAAGAAGGGTGGTGCTTCTCTCCCCAAATAGAAACCTATTGTTATCAGGTAATAAAAGCAGGAAATTCCTTTTATTCCTATTTATTTAAAAAAATCCTTTTCTGAGGCTGGCCTGGTGGCACACACCTTTAATCCCAGCACTTAGGAGGCGGGCAGACCTCTGTGAGATTAAGACCAACCTGGTCTTTGCAGTGAGTACCAAAATCACATAGAGAGACCCTGACTCAAAAAAAAAAAACAAAAAAAAAAAAAAAAAAAAACTTTTCTGTATGTACCTTGATAACAGATATCTGAGGAAATCATTGAAAACAGTAGAGCATTTGAATGGTATAACAGATATAAAAGAAAAAATCAGTTTAAAAGAATGTATTTACATAAGAGTTTGCTGACTGACTTTGAACATAAGGTTCAATAATACTTTTTAAAGATTTATAAACTTAATCACAAAGCTGTAAGCTAAGTTCAAATAAACAGGAAGACCTTAGACTTCTAAGTTACACCTTTCCTGTGTGACCTAGGCCCCTAACTCAGTGCTGACTTTTGAACAGTCATATTCCACCAAACCGAAGGAGCTAGAATAGATATCTATTCTTCCCATTTAAAGCATTACCTGTGAGATTATCAATAAACATAATTTTCAGTGAGACTCCAAATGTTGATCTGAAAGTAAGAGAAATCATGTGGATGTTTATATTCAACTGTGGAGAAAAATCCCTAAATCTTATAACAGCAGTGGCAAAGTTGACTTTTCTTTTTACTACCTTTTGTATGGAATCAAGAAAACTTATAGTGCACTATTTCTGATTAGCTGTGCAGAGCAGGTTCTTCTCATAAAGAAAGAAGTGTTTGTTCTAATACTGTCAGTGATGGAATTGATCTTGTTGTTTAGAGAAACTGTCAGCTGTATTTCAAAATACTGGATTTCATTTGGAATATGTTGAAACTCTTAAAGAGTAGAAAACATAGTTCAGAGTACATGCTGCTTTTTATAGAGAACCTGAGTTTGGTTTCCAGCACCCATGCTGAGCAGCTCACCTATAACTGTACCTCCAGGGAATCTAACTCCCTCTTCTGGTGTCCACTAGTACCTGCATTCCTGTGTGCACACACACAATTTTTTTTCCAGAGACAGGGTTTCGCTGTGTAGCCTTGGCTGTCCTGGACTCACTTTGTAGACCAGGCTGGTTTCAAACTCTGAGAGATCCTCCTGCCTCTGCCTCCCAGAGTGCTGGGAGTACAGGCGTGCACTACCACATACACAATTAATTTTTAAAATTAAATCTTTTAAAAAACCTAGAAATCTCAAATATTAATCCAAATGACAAATATTTATTTTTTAAAAAGCATATGTTCTCAAATTAAGATCCTTACTCCAAATAACCACTAGCTTAATTTGTGTCTTTGGGGAAATCATACCCATTTTATATATCATTATTCCCATTCCCTTTCCAACAAACGGAGTAGGGTAAGAATAAATAGGTGTATGGTACCATCTCTAAGTTAGCTTGATTAAATGCAGCACTAAATTAAATGCAGGTATCCTTGCCATTCAGATGTCACAATAAATATTAGAAGAGGGAAGAGGGAAAAAAAGAAACCTTACCTGAGAATATTCTGAAGAGAAACTTCCAGGATCATCAGATTAGGTTTCTTGAGAAATAAATCAGGGCATGGTTGGGGCTGGCAATATAATGTTTACAGTAATGAACTTACACTGTCAGTCAAACTATGTCTAGTATTCACTTTTTGGACATCCCTGTGCTCAGTGCTTCACCTGAAAAGGAAGCAATCAGACTAGAGGGAAGAGGAAAGAAGCCACATAGACAATCAGCTATAGATAATAATATAGGTGAAAAGCACTTACAAAGTAAAGACAAAACAAAGATGACACTTCACTGAAGCACACTTCACTTGAGGGACTTTTCTGTGTAGATGAGTCTTACGTAGAGTTTGGAGAGAGATGGCACTAGAGTAGCGAGATGGAATGATGAGTTAAAACGTTTATGAAAGCAGTTAAAGCAGTTGAAGTTTTGCATCTTTTTCAGACCATTAAGCACCTAATGGAGGCAGAAAAGGTGAAAGGATTCTGCCAGCTGGTGGTGGCTGCCAAGCTGAAGGAGGGCATGTCACACCTCATCCAGTCCTGTGGCCTTGGGGGCATGAAGCACAACACAGTGGCGATGGGCTGGCCCAGTGGCTGGCGCCAGAGTGAAGACTCTCGTGCCTGGAAGACCTTCATTGGTACAGAATTTAACCTGAGGGCCCAGAGGGGGTTATCTGTCACCCTAACCTGCCTCCCGCAGTTGAGGCCATGCCATGAAGCATGCTGCCAGAAGGCCACCTAAAAACTAGCAACCTGATGTTACCTGCCCTCTCCATCTTTACATTTATGTTCACAAATTATCATTTTCAGTTGTCATTTTTCATTGTGATGTCCTCACAGGATCTAGAAAGATTGTCTTTCATCAAACTTGTTCTAAATTCATACTTTAAATATGCAGTACAGAGTAGCCCTAGTTACCTAAACCATGGTTCCCCATTTGGTTCCTAGTTCCCCAGACTTCACTCAGTGACCTCTGTTTCTTAGTAAAGTATAATGCTTTATAAAGTAGGACACTTTATTCAAAGAAATGTCAGTGAGCACTGCCTTCCTTTCCTGGGATGGTGGGAAGCAAGCAAGCCCAATGATTCTTGTTTGCGTATTTTAATCCTATCTTCTCTCCATAGGCACAGTTCGAGTGACAACTGCTGCCCATCTAGCCCTGCTGGTGGCTAAAAATGTCTCCTTCTTTCCCAGCAACGTGGAACAATTTTCTGAGGGCAACATTGATGTGTGGTGGATTGTGCATGATGGGGGCATGCTCATGCTATTACCATTTCTACTGAAACAGCACAAGGTATTCTGGACCACTCCTTAAAGCATTTCCTCATGCTGTGCTGGCTCAATTGTTGTTGTGTAATGAATTTAAAATCTGAAGAAGCAGGGCTTATTCTTGGCTCTCCCATAATCCCAGCTTCAGCCTTAAAAGAAGTAGAGTGTGTATTTTTTTTTAATTATGCTGTTGTATTTTATATCAGTCCACCTTAAGTGAAATACTATCAGCTTAGGAAAGTTCCATATAAGTAGAAAAAACAAAAGACAGGAATGTATCAGTTTCAGGGCTAAGTGTATGTGTGTTGTGCGTGTCATATCCATGTATGCTCATTAACTGCAAGTTTGTATGGTATCATTGCTATGTTGTCTAATTATAGCACTCTCAGTGTATTCTGAGAGAGAATATGTAGATGCGTTTTTCCCTTCCCATATGAAGCCAGAAGCTGTTCTGCAGAGGGCAGCAGCTTGGTGTCCTCTGAATCAATCCTGACATAATTATCTGGAGATAGCATTCTATCCATCCCACAGGTTGATGATTAGTCTACACAGTGTTTTCCTGCATCCTGAGGATGCTGATTGCAAGCCCTGATTGTTCTACTCATACTTCTGACTTTGGAGTTTACATGCCTCTCTTCCTAGATTCAGTTAATGAACTAGACAGGGTTACTAAATTCAAAGAAAACATTTTGTTACGTTTACTTCTTTATGATTTTAGAACATTGCAAAGGATACAGATATGGAGATGTAGAGGACATGGCATCTGGGAAGAGGCATGGAGTTTCTGTATCCTTGCTGGCATGCACTGTTCTCCAGGATCTATCTCATTTTCAGTTACAGAAGCTCCCAAAGTTCACTCTAGTAGGATTTTATGGAAGCTTTCATACACAGACCTGACGAAATCATCCACTGTTGGTGATGAACTGCACTCTCAGCCCCTCTGTCCTTCCAAGGATTTTGAAAGTTATGCACCATGAGTCAAGGACAATTTCACAATACTACATGAGCACGTCTTTTCTTACAATGAAATTAAGTATGTAAAGCCAGGAATGGTGAAACATGCCTGTAATCTCACCACTCAGGAAGCCTAGGTCAGAGGATCAAAGTTCAAGGCCAGCTTCAACTATAGCATTAATGTAGAATGTTTTTAATGTGTTGATTAGTCAATCTTTTACACTCATACAAAAATGTATCAAACAGAAAGCAAGGAATAGATACTTGATACTACAGCCAGGCTGTTCGAGACACAAATGTCTCATTTTAGGAAATCACTTTTTCCCTTCTTGCATCTAATTTTCCATGTATACATGGCATCATGTCAGGTATGGCGAAAATGCAGCATACGGATCTTCACAGTAGCCCAACTAGAAGACAACAGTATCCAGATGAAGAAGGACCTGGCCACCTTCCTGTACCATCTGCGCATTGAGGCAGAAGTGGAAGTGGTAGAGATGGTGAGGAAGTAGTCTGACATAGTAAAGACCACCTCTCCCTCAACCCCAGCTCTCTTCCTAGAGTCTAGTTTGGGATATTACTTAGCTATAAATATGTAGTTCAATTCCCTAGGCCTAACAAACCCCTAACTTATTGACCTAAGTAAGTAGAATGTGTTAAGTGTTTACAATTGATTTTATTTATTTATTTAAACACTTAACATTTTTATTACAGTGTGTGTGTGTGTGTGTGTGTGTGTGTGTGTATGTATGTGTATGGATCGGAGGAAAACTTACAGGAGTCAGTTGTTCCTTCTATCATGTGATTGCTTTCACATTCAGGACATCAGACATGGAAGCAAGTACCTTTACCCACTGGGTCATCTTCCTGCCTCTTTTTGTTTGCTTTGTTATTTGTTTACTGCACAGCTCTTAAATATGTACCAAATTCTTAGCTGCTTATTATATTTATTGATGTTTAGTTCATGTTAAAAAATCATACACCCTGGGGGCTAGAGAGATGGCTCAGAGGTTAAGAGCACTGGCTGTTCTTCCAAAGGTCCTGAGTTCAATTCCCAGCAACCACATAGTGTCTCATAACCATCTATAATGAGATCTGGTGCCCTCTTCTGGCCTGCTGGCTCACATGCGGGCAGAATACTGTATAATTAATTAATTAAAATAAACATACTTTTGTGTGCAAAATAAAAATTACAATATGTTTTGTTTCAAGGAAACAAATAATGATTAGATCCTAGCAAAAACTCAAAGCCTCTATATTTAATCTGCACTCCCCAAATCATGTGTCCAAGACAGATCAAAATAGGAGTGAAAGGTTGCTGTGGTGACAGTTTGTCTGAATTAGGTCAGTTCTGTAAAAATAAAGATGTTGGAGGCTGGATTGATGGCTCAGCCATTAAGAGCATTGGCTGCTCTTCCTGAGGTTCTGGGTTCATTTCCCAGCACCTACATGACAGCTCACAACTATCTATAACTGCATTTTGAGGGGATCTGACACCCTCACACAGACATACATACAGGCAAAACACCAGTGCAATATAATAAAAATCAATTTAAAACAATAAATATGTTTGGTTAACCTTCTTTGTGCCCTACTTTGTATGCTACCTGGCAGCATGACAGTGACATATCTGCCTATACATATGAGCGCACCCTGATGATGGAGCAGAGATCCCAGATGCTCCGGCACATGCGGCTATCCAAAACAGAACGAGACAGAGAGGTGAGACCTTTCTGAATTAACTGATCTGTTCTGAAGCTTGTCATTGATAGAGACAAATATTTTCTTTTCATTTTGTCAGTTATTCCAGTATAACCTACAGTCAGTTAAGGAATGAGGAAAAGAATAGGAGGGAGAATAACTGTGATCTTCCCCAGGCACAACTGGTGAAAGATCGAAACTCAATGCTACGCTTAACTAGCATTGGCTCTGATGAGGATGAAGAAACAGAAACATACCAGGAAAAGGTGCACATGACTTGGACCAAGGATAAATACATGGCATCCCGGGGGCAAAAGGTCAAGTCAATAGAAGGATTCCAGGACCTACTTAATATGCGTCCGTAAGTGTTTCCACTCACAAGCTTATCCTATAATACATTATCCTAGACAGTGGTACATACGTGATTTTATCTGAACACAGTCGCATAGGATGAGGTGTCTTTATCTTGCCTAGATCTGCTATTTATTGTTTGCCTATGAAAATTATTTCCCAATTAAACACTGGAAACAAGCTAGCCATCCTTTTCTCCACCACATAGCTCATTTCTATATTATTTGTCTATTCTAACAAAATAAGCAAACAGAATGAGAAAACCAGGCCAGTGAGCTAATAGCTTGTTAGGTAAAGGTGCTTGGTCAAAGTGCTAGGTCAAGCTTTAGTACCTGAATTTGATCACCAGGACTCCCCAAAAAGCTGCCCCACACACGCACAAGTAAACCACCACCACCCACACAAAGAATAAGAAAACTAGAGATGTTAATACAGCAATTATCATGTTATCCATAGATAAATGAAAAAGTTTGGGCCATCAAAATAAAGAGTACTTATAACTTTTTGTTGTATGTTTGTTTGTTTGTTTGTTGCCTTAACTATCTGATTTCTTGCCCGCTCAGGGACCAGTCCAATGTGAGAAGGATGCATACAGCAGTGAAGCTCAATGAAGTTATAGTTAACAAGTCCCATGAAGCAAAGCTGGTTTTGTTGAATATGCCAGGACCACCCCGAAACCCTGAAGGTGATGAAAATTGTATCCTTTCCAAGAGGGAAGCTACCAATAGGAAAAAATTCTTCTCAAGACAAATAGGTAATAGTTAAAGTCAGTCTATTCTCCAGGTTCCTCCTCAGAGGAACAGAGGTAGGAATGCTTCCAAGGCTGTGAGATTAATTGGTTTCCTCTCAGGAAGCTGGCAAGAGGGTTATTATATAGTCTCTGAATCCCAGTTATACCAAGGTGGTAAATTTGCAACGTGACTTCTATTTTTCAGTGATAAACCCAGAGACAGAATACCCACATCCATTCTCCTTTTCAGGATCCTCACTCTGCAAAGCTTCTTTCTTTTGGATGGAGTTAGGGGAGAAGCACTTGAGACTTCTTAAAAGACAAGAGGCTCTTCAACCCTTATTTTTATGGGAACCTCCAGCCCTGCAATGACACAGACTGTCCATCTTAGCAACACTATTGAGGAAAAGAGGGGTGATTTGTTTAATTAATGAAGAAAGTGGTATGAAAATCTGACTCACGTAGCCTCACTTAGAAATTATGTGGGTTCTCTCTAGAGATATTTTGAGCTGGTATTTTTTAGTCCTTTTCTTATTTTTTGGCATTTTTGTCAAAAGGATAATATTACTTGTGAATTCTCCCCCGCAATACACCCCAAGACAGGTTTTCTCTCTGTGTAGCCTTAGCTGTCCTGGAACTCACTTTGTAGACTAGGCTGGCCTTGAACTCAGCTGCCTGCCTCTGCCTCCTGAGTGCTGGGATTAAGGTGTGAGAGACCACTACCACCAGCTCATCTTTCATTTTTTTAAATTGTGTGTGAATACACATGTACACAGGCATATGAGTGCACATTACATTTATATGGAGGTCAGAGGGCAACCTTTGTGTCAAACTTGGGTTATCAGGCTTGAACAGCAAGTGTCTTTTATCTACCCAGCTACCCTCCCCCCCCCCCTTATTTTTCATGTGTGTTGCCTGGTGCCTGGAGGTCTGAAAAGGTTCTTGGATTTCTAGAAACTGAGTTACAGAAGGTCATGGGCCACCATATGCATGCTGGGAAACTCATACTGGGGTCCACTGCAAGATCATCAAGTACTCTTAACTACTCAGACATTTCTCCAGCTATTTGAAACTTTTTATTTATGCCAGGCATGATGATTCACACCCTCAATTCCACCATTCAGGAGGCAGAGGCAGGCAGATTACTGACTTCAAGGCCCCAGTTTAGTATACATATTTTTAGGCCAGCTAATGTTAAATAGTGAAAAGTCTGTCTCAAAAGTATATGTTTGTATTTGTGTGTTCCTGCCTGCTTATTCCAGGGAATTGGACTCAGGTTGCTAGACTTGTACAAAGTTTGTACAAGTTGCCCAACATGTACGAGATTCTCAGTTCAGTTCTTAATACCTGGAGGAAGAGAGAGAGGAAGGAAAGAAGGGAGAGAGGGAAGGAGGAAATAAATGAGAATGTCTTGCAGAGGGTCTAGATCCCAAGATTATTGCATAAACTTAAAACTGAGTCCAGGGAGATTGTGGCGCACGCCTGTAATCCCAGCACTCGGGGAGGCAGAGGCAGGCAGATTTCTGTGAGTTTGAGGCCCAGCCTGATCTACAAAGCAAGTCCAGGATAGCCAAGGCTATACAGAGAAACAAAACAAAAAAATTAATTAATTTTAAAAAAGCCAATTCCAGGCTTGGTGATGCAAGCCTGTAATCTCAGCTACTTAGGAAGGTGAGGAAAATTACAAAAGTATGTCGGTGCCATAGTGAGTCAAGATCAGGTGGGCAATTTAGCAAGACCCTGTCTCAGAATTTTAAGTTAAAATCAGAGCAGGTGAAACAGTTGGGTGTTTGCCTAGCAAGCATAAGGTCCTAGATTTAATGCATAGCACTGCTGAATAAATGGATGGGTGGATATATAGATGGATGTTGAATGCAAAGTTCAGGCTTTTCCTATTCGGAGTATATAATTATTAAGAGGAGCATGCTGAGTTTGCAGTTCTATGATCAGGTTATAAAGTGCCTGTTTCCTTGACAACCTCTGAAGACATGGAATTCCTAGAAGTACTCACGGAGGGACTAGAGCGAGTCCTCCTCGTCCGGGGTGGTGGCAGTGAAGTGATCACCATTTACTCATAATCAGCTTATGGAAGATTGTTTGGTCTTACTGTCCCTAGAAGACTCATTGTCCATGGAGATGACAGCTCTTTCCTACAACTCCCACTCTATTCTTGCGGAGCTGAGCCCCAACTATGCTCTTGGCTGCAACATGACCTGCCATCCCAGCAGAAGCAAATACTCCCTCAACATCAGAATGGTCAAGTCCTAAAAACTATTTCTATAGCAGGAGAAGGCAAGTCAAAATTAACAAGCTAAGCCTAAGGGAACCTTTTGGCACACTGAAGGTAGTAAAACATATGCTAGAAATTTAACTAAAACCAGAAAGCAAGTTCATTTCCAACATTCAGGATGTATCTCAGAAGACACAGTTCAGTGATGGCACCAGAGAGGTAGCGGGCAGCCTACCTCAACTTAGTTTAAAAAAAAAAAAAAAACGACCAAGTAAATGTTACCATTGTGGAGACAGCCTGTGGCAAGCCAAGATGGAAACTTAAAATATGAATATACAGAACCTGAAACATAGCTGCAGCCTCTACTTCTTCCTTAAAGATCAGATTCCCCCAATACCAAGTTTTATTGTCTGGACTGTGCCACTATATATTTTAACTGTCTTTCTTTTTTAAAAAGTTCTGTGGTTATAATGCAGACAGTGTTACTATAGAGATGTTTATTGACAGGTAAAAATGTTCTTCAGGTTTTCAAATGGAACTAAGGGGATTCCAAAGAGTACCTATTAAAATGTACATAAACACAGTCTGTGGTTAGCTATGCAACACAAAGCACACAAGTTATTATCTAAGATATGTAGGTTGTTATGTAGGTGAACCAGGAGGGTCTTGTCTATTACTCTTAGTAGGCACTGGTCTAAAAACAAAACAAAATAAGGCATAAGGAAGAGACACTAGGGCCGTGTGCTGTCACCTCTGAGGCTCCAGGTTTTAGAGGGGTTCAGCAGTGGAACTGGGCGTGTGAGAGCCATTCCCTTTCCCATACCCTTTCCACTGTGCCAAAATCATCTGCCTACAGTGGCAGACAGGTTTCCATAGCCTGACAAAAGAAATCAATCTGTGACCTCCTCACCAAAGCCATAGTGAAGACCTGAGGCGCTCACCTCCATGCTCAGCTGAGCTTTTCCCCTTTCAATATTCTTCACTCTGGCTCCAGAAACTTGGCACTGAACCAAGTGGTCTGAGCCAATGATCTACTCTGTTGGTTTTGTTTTCAAAAAAGCTTTAAACGTGCCAAGGAAATAATTGTGTAAGCTCAGCTTCTTACTTTTCTAAGTTATTGATCATGAACACCTGGCTTACCAGCTTAGGAAACTTTTGTGGCTGAGCAGTATTTTCAAGTATATGAAAAGTTCATATCCTTTTCAGGATAGTTATTTAAGAAACTGTCTTCTTGCGCACATTTGTGGCTGCTTTTAAATTAACCTTTATTGATGGTAAACTGTCACTCTCCATTACCCTGTAAAACATGAGATACCCAGAATTCAGTCTAAGACACAAGAAAACCTTCAAATAATGGCTTAAGAAGCTGAGTGTCATATGACTTGTTCACCCTCCTAGGCCCATTCAAGGTAGCAGAGGATCCAGAATCTTTTCCTATTCCTCCTGCAGAGGGTAGAAACCATTTTCTGTCCCCTTCTCAACACTCCATTGCATACTTGAGTATAGATGACTGTACTCTAGTAGAGTACAGTCATCTATACTCAAGTAGAGGGTTCCAAGGCATTAACTGCCCATTCTGTAAAAGCCATCCTGCCCAGGAACTGCCTAACATACCTATCCCTGACCAAAGTGATTCATACTTTTTCCATATCAAATACAGGCAGAGAATAGGATTACTTTTAGAAAGGCTGCATATGGTTAGAGCTACATAACAATCTTTTAAAGGGTAAGAGAATTAGTGGCTATTAATATAGCTATTATTTGAGTCGTCAAAACACAAAATCACTGTTACATGGAAAAATGGTTATTAGGCCAGATTTATACTCATCTTTGTCGAGAGCATTTCATGTTTATGTGTTGCTTATGTTGTCTGTCTGCAAAGTGTCTTATCTCTTTTAATCACTGCAAATAAAGCAATACTGAAAACTTGAGAGAAAATGCACCTTAGGGGAAGGGGCCAAATGTTTCAAGAAGGAAGAGAAAGACCTTCTCCTGCCTTCTTATAAGACCCAGCTTTTGTGTCTTACGTATGAGTTTAGAAAGGCAGGCTGTAACATTCATTCTCCTCCTCAGCCTTCCATAGCTACCTTAAAAGCTGGAGTTTGAACTGTAGGGTCTGCTTGACAGGTGCCACTTCCTCGTGCCCGAGGAAAAGTCACTGCTGTTCATCTTCCTTTGCTTCCTTTTTTTGTGGCCCCAAGGATTCCCCCAATCCTCATTCCCCCTAAATGTTAAAAAAAAAAAAAAAAGTTCCTTATTGTGGATATTAGAGTAAGTTACACTGTAAGCATATTTACACGCTTTTTTTTTTTTCCTGGTTTATTTTTCTTTTCATCATGTATAATTTGAATCCAGCATTAGTTTCTCACAGCTTCCAAAAAAAAAAAAAAAAGTCTGCTTGTGCGATATAGAAGTGAAATATTAAAATAGATTTAAGGGGAACTTATGACACTTGTAAAGCATTGTTCTCAACCATTTAATTTATTGAAAGGAGATGCTGCTACTTAGCAGCTGCTATTCTTTTGTTTACATAGACTCTGGTTTTGTTTGTTTTGCTCTGTGCTGGGAACATAAATAAAGTTTTCTACATTATTTTCAGTCAGAACTTGTGCCATAGTTTCTTTTCTGCCGTAACATGCTGTACACTGTCCTTGTAGACTCTGTCTCCTCACTATGGAAAAAAAATGCAGGCTTTTTGGTTCTTCTCAACATGCGTGATTATTTTAAGTGAGCATACTTAGGAGTCATCAGCTTAAACAGACTGCAAATGAGGCCCAGATACATGACACCAGGTGCTGCTTTTCCAGGTTCAAAAAAGTAATCCTCCACCACTGAACTCCATTCTCTAAAAAGAAAGAAACAGTAAAGAGGTGAATGGCAAATTACTTCTTAGTTAATCACAAGTTCTGCTATACATGACCTTGTAACTTCCAAATGCATAGTGATGTTGTACTTAAGAAATGAACTCTTAGGCCAGTGAGAGTGTAAGGGTAAGGGCACTTGCTGCCAAACCCAATGACCTGAATTCAATTTCCAAAACCCATATGATAGAAGGAGAAAACCAACTGTCTCCTGCAAATTGTTCTCTAACCTCCAAAACACACACACTCATACACAGAGGCATGCAATAAAAATGTAAAAATAAAACTTTAACAAAAGAAATGAATTCACAATATCATCTCTAATTTCCTACCATCAAGTGAACTAGTTATTCATCATACATTCCATTTGCCTGAAATTTAACTTTAACCATACCTCGGGAGGCTCAATAAAAGCTAGCCAATCTGATGCATGTGTAGGCAACAGTCCCATGGACTGGCACTTGTAAACAGCCAATGCCAAACCCATCAGGTTTCCAATAAGATAGACCAAACCCTGAAGAAACTTCTGACTTGAACTCTCCAGCATCTTGAAAGCTGTTGGGATAACAGACATTGTAAAAACCTTCTTTCCCCCAATACAAATGAAACCAACCATGAAATTATACACACAGACCCAAAATATGATTGTAAATAGTATAACTTCCACCACCATCCTGCAAAAATATGCCAAAGAATTTACCTTTGATTCTTAGCACCCAGGAATTTTATAAATTATTTTATGAATACTTACTGGCTGAAATGGCCATAAGTGCTTGAATGGGTCGCCAGGCCATCATACACACCATCATAGTAGGGAAGATGGAGATGGTATTGCCTGCCATGTACATGATGAAGAGGTTCATGGGAATCTGTTTGAGGGGACCCAGGGCGATGTCCCAGCAGCGCTAAAACACACAGTTTGAACCTCTGATCACTACACTTCAGTCTCACATTTACCATATGACTTAAATCAATAGCAGTTTCAATTCTCTGCTTGACTAAACTGACTTTTCAGCTTCACGCCCTCTTCAGATTGCTGCCAAGTCCTTCTACTTCTCTACTGTTAAACTTTCCCCTATATAAGTTTTCCAGGGATCTTTTTGTTTTGTTTTTCAAGATGGTTACTCCATGTAACACTGGCTGTCCTAGAACTCCCTTTGTAGACCAGACTGGCCTCAAACTCAGGAAACTTCCTGCCTCTACTTCCAAGTACCGGGATTAAAGGTGTGCTGCCACCACTTCCTGGCAAGTTTTGAGAAATGTGTAAACTTTCTGTTCCTTGAGACAATATCTTGCTATATCTAGGTTGACCTCCCAACTTGAGCATCCTCCCAGCTGGTAGGATTGTAGATGTGCACCACCATACCAACTAGAAATGAATGATCTTAAAGACTCAGCATCTATTTCATCAAAGTTAGACAAAGAACAAAGTAAATTAAAGGATGTTTGAGAAGAAAACAGAAATGAGAAGTCATTAATGAAACAGAATCATCAAAGATAAACCTGTCTTTTTGCCAAGATTATAAATTCAACGCTGGTAAACCTGACAAATTAGAAAGGAGGAAAGGACAGTTCTTTCGTGCCCAGAAGGGAAGGGAGACAGCTCTACAGATCCTGCAGTTACAACACTGGCCATATTCTAAACTCTTGGACTATTTGAAATGGACAAAGTTTTAGAAACATGACTTAGCAAATGGCATAAGAAAAAAAAAAAGGAAAAGAAAAGCAGTTCCATGGCAGTTCACAAAGTTGACCCTATAATTAACCCTAGATCATTTCCCTTGGAAAATTCTAACCATTTAAAGCTAAAAATAAAAGTATATCTTATACAAACTCCTTTAAAAAAAAAAAAAAAGATCAAAACTAAAAATTCTACAACTCAAATTCCATAAATACCCAAGCCTTAAAAGATCATTATGAGCCGGGTGCAGTGGTACACACCAGTAATACCAAAATTTGGGAAAGCAGTGGCAGGCGGATCTCTGTGAGTTTGAGGCCATGCTGGTCCAGGACAGACTCAAAGTATTACCGTCTGGGAACTAAAGCAGAAAAGTACGACTCCAACAGGAAGCAACAGGAAGGTGCTGCCACAGATGCCATTTTTCAATCTATTTCATAAACTTTTTTTTTTTCAATTATTAACCACTTCTGAATCTCATATGAAAGATGCTGTAATACGAACCTAAAGCAGTGTAGCTCCCAAACACTCAGGTAATGGCTATCTTTACCTCTACTCCGGAGAGTAAGGTGAGACCCGACTGGCCCAAATGCTACTGCAACACCTAATACCTCTGTACCTTCTCCACCAAGATCCGGTCTGTCTCTTGCACGCTGGTATCAGGCACTTGCTTGTCCAGGTAACCGACTGGATAGAGTGAGTCTCCCTGTCCACTGCCCCGGTCACTTCGGCCCCTAAAGAACCAAACCAAATCAAGAGACTAAATTGCGACTTCCCAAATACGGTTTCTAGCTCTATCACTCACAGGAACGAAGGCCTTCAGAGTAGCTACACAGAGTAGAGCTTCTAGTGCGTTCGTCGTTCCTCAGCCTCTTGGAAAAACATCCTTAGGGGATGTTCCGCAGCCAAAAGTTACTCTGGGGACGTCTGTAATTATACCCATCAGTGTCGGAGACTTACACCTGAGGCCCAGGCCCGCTGGATCTTTGGCCGTTCTAGCGTAAGGCTCAGACCAGGAGATTCAGTAGAGACTCACCTGCTGCCTCCCCCCGGCCCGCTCAGCTCAATGGCCCATTTGAACCGCCGGCCTCGGTTGGCCACCAGGCCCCCCTGGGTCGTCATGACAGCAGCCGCTAGCTAAAGGTGCGTTGACGCTCCCGCCGCTGCGTTTCTATCGACGGAACTAGCGGTGATTGAAAGCACTCCGACTTCCTTGCTTTCGCCACAGCGCACTTCCGGCGCAGAGTATGTACGTCACGCGCTCCCAGGAAACTTGTCGTCGGAAGTAAGAAAGAACGAGTCCCTGCAACTTAAGAAAGCCGCACAGCTGTCCGGAATACCAGCTTTCTGAAACCTCTCTGTAAATAGAACGCTTGCTTGTGCTCTGGTCTCTCAGTACAAGTCACCGAACCGGAGTGAAGTCCGTAATGACATGAATTGAAGCCAAGGAGGGCACGAAACTGAAATCCTCTTTTAACCCTGGGGTCACCCGGACTTGGATGACCTTGAGCGAGTTATATATTTGGTTTTTGCTGTTTAAATTTGTTTCTATTTAATTCGCAAACTAAACCACTAAGGTAGACACTGGATTGGGAAAGATACGTGGGCTCAGATTTAACTGATCTCCTTTTTAAATTTTTTCACTACTGACTATGCCACCTCGACTAGGTTAAAGTCATTGCCACCTGCTTCATGCAAAAAAAAAAAAAAAATTGAGTAATCGCCTACTTTGATCTGTTGTGAGATTAAATAGGACCTGTAACCAAATCTAATTTTTTTATCATAAGACATTATCATTCCTGGAAAATTGAGTTTATATTCAGTGGCTTGTCTGTATTGTAATTTGGCCTATTACTGGAAAATTGTTTCTGCCCTCTCACCCCGTTTATAATTCAGTGTTAGTGTGAAAAATCATTTAGAACCAAAAAAAAAAAAAAAACATTTAGAACATTTTTCCTTAAATTATTATGCTAGGAGTGGAATTGCTAGATCAAAGAGTATGTACATTTTTAATGAATTATTATTTAAAATGCTCACTTATAAATTATCAGTTCACAGCAGTAGATTGTTTATTTCTTTGATTTGATTTTATTTATATTATCCCAAAGTTATTTGTTATGGCTGGAATTTTGTGGAAGAGGCTATAGTGACAATGTGGTTGAAGATAAGGCTGAAAAGACTTTCTTGGCCAATTAAGAGTTTTGACCCTTAAAGATAATGGTGATCTGCACACACTGAAGATTCTCACCCTTGCTTTATTTTCCAGTTTTGCAGTTCTATGTACAAATAAGAGAAAATTATGAATCACATCCAAGGATAGGAGAGTGGTGGAGGGCATGAGATTTTATCATGCTACAAAGAACAATGCAACTTAAAACATATATCTAGAATTTTCCTTTTAACATTTGTGGAACACAGTTGAAACTAGGGTAACTACTTTCAGATAACCTAAGCCATGAAAAGCAAAACTATTGGTAAAAAAACAAAACAAAAAAACAGAAAACATCACTGATTAAATTGTATTTAAATATGCCACGATAGAAATAGGCTATAATTATACTTATGTAAAACAAAATATAAAATAAGATATCACAAACATTAATATTTTACTAAGAAATAGTTTTCAGGTAATGTCTAATTTTCAGGATGCTCATGTGCTAATAAATTTTGAAAGTGTTTTTTAAAACATTAAATTGGTCGATGCAATCACATATTTCTATTTAAAGAAGTATGCCTTCTTTCTTTATGAAAGTTTAAACTATAAAGCACAGTTATTTTGCCTCAAGGAGTAAGCCAGAAAATTTATATCTTTACCCCAGGAATCTTTGTTGTGTAATCTGCTAAATTGTGTCTCAGAAAAGATAAAGTCATTGGAATGAGATGAAGGGTTCCAAGTTCAAATTTGGGAAATAATTGTGTGTTGTATTATGTGAGCATAATAGTGAAAAGGTATTTTCAGTACAGTATAGTATAGTATAATATAGTATAGTAAACCATTAAAAAATGGTTCCAGGGCAGAGCATGGCCACACTGGCACATGGAACCACAAATCAGCTGCCAGAATGTATGTGTTTCTCATGACCCAGGCCCACAAGACCACTTTCTTCATGAACTCCAAGGAGTTGAGCACCGAAATGCATTTTTAAGGGCATCCTCAAGCAGCAACTGTGCAAGAATGACCAGCTCCTCTATGAGGAAACAGTTCTGGGCCAAACAGCAAGGCCACCAGCCCCAGCCAAAGTATGTCTGGTCTTTCCAGCAGATGACGCTGTCCAAGCCCTGCACAGTGAACCCATTTCCAGCCCTACAGAGCTTCCAGATGTGGTGAAGCCACAGGATTCTGGAGTCCGTGCCAATGAACAAGCTATGAAATAAGCGCCCCACGCCCATCCCTGAGAGGCCTGTTCCCCCAGTTCAAAAGACATAACTTCAAAACAAAACGTTACTAGAGTTCCTTTTTAGTTTTCTTATTAACAGTTTTATTGAAGGTGGGAGGGTTTTGTTGTTTGTTTCGTTTTGTTTTTGTATTTTTTTTATACAGGGTCACACATTGTACCCCTGGCTGTCCTCAAATTCACAGAGATTAGCTCACCTCCGTCTCCCAAGATTAGTGCAGGGCCTTTTTTGGTTGGTTGGTTTGGTTTTATATTTGTTTTTCTGTTATTTCTTAAAACTCCTTTTAACATCCAATAGAATATAGTAGGAACAACTGCTCTATGCATGTCAGAAAACTTCAGCAGAAAAATGAAGGGCATCTCCACAAGCTTTATTTGCTTTTTTCTTTATCATTGTTTTATTTGTTTGTTTGTTAAAAATAAAAACACAGAGTTTCACATAGGTCAGACCAGCCTCAAAGTTACTCTGTAACCAATGGATAGCCTTGAACTCTTGATCTTTCTGTCTCTGCCTGCCGAGTGCTGGGATTATAGGGCCTGCACTACTGTGGTTAGATCTTCTTATTCGTTTTAAAAGATTATCAGGATATCGTTAACACAGAGGGGTGTGTGTGTGTGTGTGTGTGTGTGTGTGTGTGTGTGTGTGTGTGAAAACCGGGGTTTTGAGTGTGCTTAGTGAGGAAAGGGAAACTGATGTGAAAGGTTTTTGTTTTTAGGAATTTTAAAATTATGTATGCACATGTTTGTGTGTGTCTCTGTGTGAGTGGGTATATGTGCATATGAGTGCAGTTGTCTAAGGAGGCCAAAAGGTGTCAGATCCTGGAACTGGAGTTACTAGTGGTTGTTAGCTGTGAGACACAGGTGCTGGGAATTGAACACAGGGCTATGAGACCAGTGTGGGCTCCTTAACCTCTCTTTTTTCCTAGTATGTTCTTTTCATAAGCCTAGGAAATCTGGCTTCCAAGCAGAATGGACATGAGCTACCAGAGTGCTCAGTTAGGGACCCTCTTGATCTTAATCTCTTCATCTGTAAAGTAAACGTAGATGAGATGATTTCTAAGGGTACCCTTTAGTTCTGGAATATGTTATACTTCCTGTCAACAAATAATATTTCGTGCTGGTTGTGGTGGAGCCTGCCTGCAATCCCAGCACTCTGGAAGTGGAGGCCAAAGGATGTTGACGTCCAGGCCAGCCTGGACTACTGTCAAAAACAAAAAACATTTTGCCTCCTATACTTTCCATCCACATACGCTTCTAGAAAAGAAAAACAAAAGGCTCAACTGATAGATAACCCAAAGAAAAACTAATATCTCATCATTTTTCACTTGTTTCCCACACTTTTTCTAGGTCTTTGAATGGTGCTGGAAGTGCTTTTAGCATTAGTTACAAAACTCTAAGCCTAGAAGCACAGAGGCGCATGAGAATCATCTGGGGAGCACTTAAAAATGTGGATGCCTGATTTTGTTGTTCGAGACTCTTCGCAAGGGTAGCTAGGGAGAGCTTGCACCAAAGCGGCTGCCTCAGTTCCCTCGGTTCAGTCTTCAGTCCCACAGTGTTTCCCTTGGCTGAAACACACTCAGCATTTTTAAAGTTCAGAGCATCTGAAAAGCTGTGGCAAGGAAGGTAAATATAATAATGGTGTTTGAGCAACTGAAAGCATTTTCTGTATTGCTGTGTGGACATACGGCAACACAGATTGGAATAGAGTGGGACATACGTCCTATTGGCAGTCATCCTAAAGGAAGAGAACAGTCATCATGCTAGCTGGTCTTCTAACGTAAGAGTTTTCTCAAAACCGACCCATAGGTGATGCTGAATAAGAGAATCATGTATTCATAAAGGGATGACACATTGAAGAAAGCAATAACGTACCTTTGAAACAAACAAAAAAATCACTAGTGCCTGTTCATGACTTTCAAAGATTCTGATTCCCTCACTCTGGGTGGGTCCAGGACATCACTATTTTTTTTTTCTTGTGGTTCTTTTGATACTGCCCTACAGGAATACCTAAAAAGCACTGAACAAAAGCATGTCATTGCCCCAAAATTGCAAAGGTTGAGTGTTACAAATGGATTCAAGCAGAAATGATCGGTTTTTGAGAGCCTCTTTGTGTGCCTCTGCCTGGATCAGAAGTGAAGTAGAAAACTCATTGGAAATTTTAGAATACTAAAACTAAAATAAACATTAAGTTTCCCTTACTTTGTATTTTTTAGCAAACATTTTAGTTATAGAAAATACACAACTACGTCCTCAATTTGGTAGCTCATGAGTTATTTTGTTTGACTCTTATAATACATGACACCTGCACTTTTATGTTCATTTGCTTAATCTTGCCATGTTGGGCATCAATCCAGGGCCCCATACAAGCTAGGTGGCTGCTCTGTTCCTGACCTACAACCTCCACACCTTTTGTAGTTGTTTCTATATTCATCCTTTGCCTCCTCCTGAAAGTCAGAAAAGTTATTTCTTCTCCAAACAATTGCATTTGCATTAAAACCTGAATGAGGAAACTTTTTATTCAGACAGATTTGCAAGAATAGATGGGGCGGGGGGAGGGAGAGAGAGAGAGAAATCTTTTACAGAAATTTTTTTTTGTCTTAGCATCTCTATGATACTTCTATTTGGCTACCCTTTCTTGTCCAGCCAGTTAGTCCAGTGTGTATAATAGTCCCTAAACCTTTTTGCTGTGTCAATAAAATAGATTGCTTTTGCAAATTCTTGTTAGTTTGACTCTGCTATCACCATCTCAAAGACCATGTCTTATGATGATTTTTTTTTCTGTGTCAATAATGGAGTCTTAAAAGAAAATTTCCACCCCCTAATTTGTATGCGTTTTTA